TTACAGCCTTGAATTGTTGAGCTGACAAATGCACAAACTCATTCCAGTGAGTGCAGCCAGCAGTGTGGAAACAATTGCTTCCCAGTCTCTCAGCTACATCAGGTAACAACAACCATGCTCCACCTCAATCCACACCTCCCTGCACAGCTGCCTCACCTCCAGCCAGATTTTCTCCACTGGTTGGAGAAGACACCGAGTTTGGCCCTTAAAATCTCATTTATGTTCATCACTGACTTGTTCAGGAACATCCTCTTAACTTGAGCTAAGTGGTTTTGATTCAGCTGTGTTGTTATAATGGACTGGAGAAAAAGCACATGATGTGCTGGGAGGAGAGTGGGATCCATAGCTCAGGCTGCACTTTGTGTGAAGCCTTGCTCTCCACCATCTTCTTGGACATCTTCAGCAGACCTTGCACCAACACCATATAACTTACAGACATGCAGGTTTTGGGCAGTCATGAGTGTTCATGAAGTGGTGCAAAGACACGTGAAACAGCAGGAGGAGGAATTATAAGATGCCACCTCAATGGGAACTTAACTGAGAAATTCCTGCCATCCTGATGCCTTTTCACTGGTCCTAAAATCATGAGCCAGACACAGTTAGGTGATAAAAGGTGACATTTACAAGGATCTTTAGGTGCACAGTTTGCCAGCTGGAAAATGCCAAAGATGCACACACAGCATAACGTGTATACATTTTCTATAGGTTTTGCAAATTAACATGTCTGACAAGAATCCCCAATTAGAAGCATAGTTGGAGAGGTAATCCCCCCAACACCACTCTTTTTTGAACTCCCCCTCCTCTAGACAGGGACTCAACTCTGTTTATACAAATATGTCTCAAAGGGCTGGTCTCAGCCTTGGTTCCCAGGAAGAACCAAGATGGATGGAATAGGAGCCTCAGCCCCCCAGCTTGAAACCTTTGGAATGTGTTTTGTCTTTCTGCTTATCAGATAAGGTCAGGAAAAGTACTGGAGATAGGCTACAAATACAATGACAGGCTACAGAGCTACAAATTTATGTGTAAAGAACACACAGAGAATATATAAAAGAAGTCAAGGCAAAACCAATCAATTTGGCATAAATTCAAACTGATTTTGAAGCTAAAAAAAGATATCCATTCAAGCCTCCTCCTCTGCCCACCTCTGAAATGTCTTCCCAGTGCCAGTCTATTTTATCATCTAATGCTCATGCCTCTGTTCTCCTTGCAAGCATTTCTGTGGTTTTTGGAAAACATACACTGAATAGTGGCGTCATCGATTTGTTCAAACCTGCTGACTCATTACTAATTGCACTTTGTGTGAAGTTCTTCCTTAATCATCCTAAAAACCTTCAAGGAACATTTCATTCTTCAGCATGGCTTAGATATTTCATTTTTCTATGTGTCATCTTACTTCTTACAATGTGCCTGGCTGTCACTATAATTAGTGGTATTTTAAAGCTTATGCATGTAATTCTTGTCTGTGCAGCTCCATTCACTTTGATGAAGCTCTGCTGCTTCATATCCACTGAAGTTCTTGCCCATGGCTGAGATTTTAGGTATACATTTTAAGAGAAAATTAAGAGAAATCTAGGTTAGGTTTATCCTTGGTTTATCCTTGGTTGCTGGCCCACGATGCATTATAAATACTCTGCCTTGCCAGGAATGAAAAGACTCAATTGGTGCACTTCTGTACTCTGATATGGCACCAAACACAATCATAGACAGAATTTCAAAAGCAAAACCAAAAACCTGAACCAAAAAAAAAAAAACCACAACAAAAAATGAGCCTTGGCATCTGAAACAGATTTCCAACATCCTCTCCTGGCTCCCCATGCTTCCCTTGGGCTGTCTGAGAAATAACAGATGCAAATGGGCTACATTTGAAAGCACAGCATTTCCTCCACAGCTGATGCAGTGTGAAAATCTATCTGAAGCCCAGCAGACATACCCATAAGCAAGTCACCTCTGAGCTTTGCCAGTAATGATACATTTCACCATACTGTACCATAAAGAGAAAACCAGACAATCACCTACTGGCTGCATCACAGAGCAAAGAAGCCATCATTTCTCCCCACTGCAGAATAAAAATTAAAATATGTTTCAAGCCACCTATTCCTAGCTGAATGCAGTGCAGAGTTAGCATTCTCTTCACACACCACACTCACACAACCCCCCATCAGGTGGAATGATTTCTCCCCTTTTCTTTGTTCCTGTGGCTGGCAAGTCAGAGCTGAAGGAAAATCAGTCTGATGAGCTTTTGAGAAAATTCCAGGCTGAAGCACTACACTTCTTGATTTATTTAGCATTCAAACATTCCCAAGAGCTTCTCCAGTTTTGTACCCCAGCCTCTGGCAGTTTCAGAGCGCAGCTTTCTCTAGAACAGCTCGAAGTAAAGACGAGACTTTGTGCCAGGTTCAAATATACCACTGGTAAAAGGATAGCCTGTCTCCAAATGACACTTTTGGGCTGCCTATCTGTATTCCTCCAGTGATTTGCATGTTATGTTTATGGACTTAACTTGCCAAGATATATGCTGGGTTTTTCTCTGCTTGTTTTTCCTGTGGCTATTGCTATCAGCACTTCCAGTTTAGGTTATAAAGAAGCTTTCTGTTTGTTTCATGTATCATCACTAAATGCAAATAGCAGATAACAGCTCATTTCAGCCAGGGTAATATTGCTACCAGACATTAAAAGAACTGAGCAGACACAAGGAAATGAAATTAGCTTTCATGTGTTGCTCTCACAGACCCTATAAAACTCAACTGTAGAAAATGGAAAAGAATTATCCTAAAACCACATGTCTAGACTGAGCCACTATGGCATAAAGGAGACATAAAGGAAAAATTTAGTGAGCTCCTCTTTGCCCAATCCACAGCTCAGTGGCTACATAGCACTGGAACTAAGAAATGCTTTAGCTTCAGTGATGTTTTGTTCACCCAGCAGATTTCCCTTGTAATGCCCACAGCAGTGAAATGCCATCCTGTGCCACGCTGTGCCATTCTTCACTGCTCAGCAAGGACTCTGAGCAGGTTTTTATTGCTGCTAAGGAAATTTAGCTCTCATGGTGTCTACAAAGAAATACAATTTGCTGTGGCCCCCTGGTTCTTGTATAATTGTTACAGTCCAGAGGGAGTAACAGAAAGGAGGAGGACAGGGTACCATGGTGCTGGTTTTGGGCCCTGAGTCCAAGAGCCTGTGTGAGGAATGCCAACCCAGAAGCACAGTCTGAATTTGTGTTGCTGGGGTTCCTACACACCATGACCATCTGTACACGATATATCAAAGTGGAGCTCCCATGCAAAATAATCACACCTGTCAAAATAAAGGCAGAAGTACCTCTGGTAAGGCATTACCTTCTTGACTTTATGAGTAACTGGTTACTGTCCAAATCCTGGAAAGTACTGCATGTGTTAATTTACCATGAAAACAGGATCAACACCTTAGAGGTATCATTGTTTAAAACATGAGCTTGTTCTTTTTCTCTGGAAGACCTACAGCAGGCACAGGGCTGCAATGGTAAGTTTTAATCCAATTTATTGTTTCTTTCTGACACAGCATTAGGCAAACTTCGTTGTTCTGTAAGTTCCACAATCAAGTCCAATACAAATACACACACACATATGAGTTTCTGATCTGGAAACACTGTACAAACCCAGATTACTGGAATGTCCTGTTTTTAGGACAACCAAATGGGGAGCATGTTATTCACCCTGATGTCCTGCCCCTGGAGGCAGCTGAGAAATGAACCTTTCATAAAGCACTCACATTGCTGTTGCTGTAACTCAGGAAATAAAAGGGAGCTGGAGGCTCTTGGTGTTTTTGCCATAGGGCTCTGTCTAGAATCAATATGAAATACACAGGTACTCATTAGGAAAAAATACATCAACATAATTGTTTACACCCACAAGACTGAATTGTCCACATTTTCAGCATAAATGTTGATAAGCTGTATTCTTTTTCCTCTTTCTGCCTCTTTGTTGCTGAATCACATAGAGTATCAGGTTACTCTGGGTTTTATATCTTAAATCTTAACAGGATGGATGGCTTCCTAGTGTAAGCTGGAACAATTCTTCCAAATGGAAAGAAAAACAAATTGCTTGGGCAGAATTTTGGCTTTTAATGCCATCTGTGTTAGCATTTCTGCATTGCTCAAAAATGAGGGAAGACTATTCCAGCTCTTTGGCTCTGCTTGGTAGAGTATTAAGCAGACACTCTGAAGAGGAAGGTATAAGCACCAGCAAGATTTATGGTACTTCCCATCTGACTTTCCCTCAGTCTCCAAAAGTTTCTGCTTAGCATGAAAGCCTCCATTTTTACTGCCCCTTCAAAAATCTGGTGAGTTCAGTCTGTAATAATGGGATTCAGCAAGGCAAAGTGCAAGGTCCTTCATGTGGGTGAAGGTAATCCCAAGCACAAATACAGGCAGAACAGAGCATGGACTGAGAGTAGCCTTGCCGAGAAGGGTTTGGGGTGCTAGTGGATGAGAACTGGACAAGAGCTGGCTGTGTGCACCTGCATCCCTGAAACCAACCATGTCCTGGACTGCATCCAAAGAAGAATGATCCTCAGGGTGAGAAGAGGATTCTTTCTGTCCCTCTGCTCTCCTGACACTTCCCCTGGAGTACTGCATCCCCAATATAGGAAGGATGTGGACCTGCTGGAACAAGTTCAGAGGAGGGCTGTGAAGATGCTCAGAGAGCTGCAGCACCTTTGCTACCAAGACAGACTGAGAGAGTTGATATTGTTCTGCCTGGAGTAGAGAAAGCTCTGGGAAGACCTTAGAACCACTTCCAGTGCCTAAAGGGGCTCCAAGAGAGCTGGAAAGGGACTTTGGATGGGGGCCAGGAGCCACAGCACAAGGAGGAATGGATTCAAATCGTCAGAGGGCAGGCTTCAATAGAATGTTGGGAAGAAATTCTTGATTGTGAGGTGCTGGCACAGATTGTCCAGAGAAATGGTTGATGCTCCATCCCTGGAAGTGTTCAAGGCCACATGGCAATGAACTAGATGATCTTTAGGATCATGTCCAACCCAAAGCATTCTGAGATCCTGTGATTTTGCCACCCTACACACAGGTTTGGTCTTTAGCTGAAAGCAATGCTTATGAAAATGTGCTCCATTGCATAACTGCAAGGTATGAAATTACCTCTTTTTTCAGGGCTTAATCACATCAGAATGTCACTGAATTCTTGTTCTTTCAGTGAGAATAGAAAATCCTGATGTGCCTTAAGACACATACTTATGTTTACACTTATATGCATCCTCCAGTTTATACAGTTTAAGCCCTGTTCATGCTTATTTGAACCCAGGAGCAAGAAAATCAGTTAAGTCTGATATATCTGTCCCTTTCCCCCATCTTTACTGTGGGGTGTATTTACCAGGTTGGAGGCTGCAACCATAATTAACTTCACCCAACACAATGCATGTCATACAAATGGCACAGGAAAAGGCAATGTGCTGTATAATCCTGCTAAGCATAGATGTGGATTGATTTTCAACTTGAATTAAACAAACCTCTTATTTGTTTTTACTGATAAAGACTGAGTAAGCAGAACTGCTGAGACTCGGACAGAAACGTATCTATGGCATGGAGTGCAAAGTCCTGTTTGAATTTTTTTAATGGATCTCAGCTAGGCACTGTTAGTTTCCATGTGGCAAGGTAAGTTTTTGAAGATTGTCCTTATTCTTTGCCATTTAACATCACTTAAACAAACAAGGGACTTGGAGAACAGAAGAAGCTTTACAAGGCGACTCAAAATATCTCCTGTGCCATGCCTATCACAAAGGTGCACACAGAAGAGTAAATAACATATGGATGAACACAAAGAGTAGAATCCTTACCTGGCCTCCTTTAGGCTGGTATTTGATATTATCTGTTGACCCAATTTTGGACCTGACATTCTTGAGGTCAGGTAGAGGCTGATTAATAACTCGTAGCTGCTTTGGAGTGGCTGGAGATTTAGGAGGAGTGCGAATTATGGCAACTTTTTTCTCAGTAGGTACCAGTATTGCAGATTTGGGAGTCCCAGGAGTGTGGGGAGTTCTGGAGTAACTGGGTGTCCCTGGAGTGCCTGGGGTACGGGAGGCATAGCTTGGTGGTGTCCCTGGAGTGATGGCAGTGGAACCAGGAGTAGTGGGGGTAGAAGTTCCACTTTTTCCCGTTCTGCTACGAATTGGCTCTGATCCTACATTCAGGAAAAAAAACATAACAACAGCTTTAGAGGCACAGAAGTACAGCTCTTCTTCCCTTTGTACTCCCAAAACTGCATCCCTATATGCCAAGTGAGACACAGCTCTTGAGATGGCAGTGCTACTGCCAAACCAGCAGCTTGAACGGGTCTCTCTGTGTCTTACTTTGCTAATCAACCTGCCAGCAATTACCTTGCCATGAGGGGTTAAGTTAATGCCCCCAGAGTGACTGAGCTCTCCATTCTGTAACACAGGAATGCTTCCCACAATACCTCTGCTTCCTGCAAAGCTGCCTAAACAAGGCACATCATCACATTTATTTCCATTTTGGGGAAAGGATGAGAAGCATCCTTGGAATCCAGCCTTTGGGACTTGATACAACCAATTGCAGTGGACCTGGGCAATAAACAAGAAAGCAGTAAAAAATCTGATGATATTCCTGTAATGAAAAGCTGTGAGTGCCTGGCTGGTGATGTTTCTCATACCACTGCTGGTAAACTGCAGATGAACCCCAGGTGGGAATTCAACTGGTGAACAAGCTTTAGCTGTGTTTGTGGATGGGTACATGTCCTCATAATTCAATTGCTATTTTTCATTAGTGCTGTGAAAGAAAGCCATTAACAGAGGCAACCTTGATAAAAATTCATATTCTACTTACATTTGCATGCAAGTAAAAAAAAAAAACAAACCCAACTATATAATTTTGTAGTGGCTCCATTTGATGTTTATGACATTGCCAGTCCTTTTCGCTGAGCACAAGGATCAGCTTAGCTGTGCTTTCTGCATCCAGCTCTGCTCCTAACTCTCAAACATAAATAAACAGAATCTGAGATACTTCCAAAGTAAGATTTTGCTGAGAATACTTATGGAGAGAAAGATCAAAATAACTCTCAAGACCTGGGAACCCCAATGCCGAATGGGCATGTGTGTTTTCACTCTTCAAATGTTCAGGAATTATAAATCCAATGGACCTCTCAAAAGCATCCAGTGAGACTAAACCAATTCTTATTTAAAGTATTTGCTAATCATTCTGTTTATGCAATGATGGTGGCCCAAACCCAATGCACTCCTGTCCCTGGAGCTCAGGAGACACTCTTTGCTCTACATGATTCATTAGGCAGACTGAACATACTCCACTCACCTCCAATTTCTTTCCAAACCAACCCTAAACTTTCTCACTATACCATCTGAGACAGAAAGGGAATTATTTTTTTCCTCACCTCCTTGCAGGTCTAGTATATTTATTTTTCATTCCTCAGCCCTTCACCACACTGCTGAATTCTTAATGGGCTCACACTCCTGGTCAGAATGGGCTGGCTGCTGTGGCAGCTGGAGGTCACTCTGCTTTCAAAGGGCCTCTGTTTTACCTTTGGAGCATCACTTATGCATTTCAAAGGACGTTTTCTGCAGAATTTAATCACCTCCTTCCCTTAAGCAGTCTTAAAAAGGGCTGAGATTGGTTTCCAAAGAAAGAAGACAGAGGAACTCCTATTGGAAAGCAGGAAGCCACATGTGGGTTCTAAGGCCTGGCTAAAAGTTCTGGGGTTATTTAGTAAATTGTCTTTGTCCTGTGATTTATTTTAGCTTATGATTTGATAATTTTGGTCCTCATAAAAGGAACCTAGCTGGTTCACTATCTTAACTGCCCCAAGTGAGTCACTCTGCCAGTTAACATCTCAATTCTCAGCGGAGATTTTACCCTAGCATACCCAGCATAGGGAGATAATTACTGGGAAACAGCAAATTAATGACTGTAACTATCAGGTTCACTTTTCCAAGACCCACCAGAATATTTCAGGTTGTCTACTTCAGTTTTGACTCACTATTTCTTGCTCCTATTTATAAATGCTCTATCTTAAATACCTCACCCAGCTCTGAACTCCCTGCAAAGGCATTTTCTAATATCAGTAATTAGTCTGGGCAGAAGTCATCGCTCTGGGCACTGCAGGTGCATCCTGTCCCTGGTTTCAGGCACTTGGCATATGAACAGAACCAGTCTGTAGGTTGTGATTTCCAACAGCACTCCCCAGAGCTACTCCTCTGTCTCAAAGGCAGGGACATGTGGTGCTAGGCAATGTGACAAACCTAATGAGGGTGGAGACAACCACAGAAGTAGGAGAAGGTTAATATGCAAAGAAAAGAAGGACAACATACGGGTAGTCCGTCGTACTGAAGAGGAGAGAGAAGCTGTGAGGGAGAGGGAGTTCTCCTCCCTGTCTCGGTCTCCTGACACACCTCGTCGAGGAGGAAGGATGGAGGAAGGTCTTGGTAGAGATGAACGCTTCTCGGGGCTCTTGCTTACTCCATCCTAATAGCAGCACAGTAACAAAGGAAGGTTTAGTTTTCAAAACTCACTCTTTGGGCTATGACTTCCTGTATCTACACACAGAGGGGGAAACCTAATCCTATGGGCCCAGTTTGCTCCTCACACAGGAACCTGAGGGGTTCAGTCACCCTACGTGCTCTGCTTTGGCTCCCTGGTGCTTCTTTACTGCACCAAAACATCTTCTGATGCCTGTCCCGAGACATAGAGGGATATTATTGGATCTAAATATGGATGGATCCCACAGCTGGCTCTTCATAAGGAAAAAGGTGGGGTTTTTAAGTGCAAGTTGAAAGTAAAACAACTCTCTAAAGCTCAAGTGCAAAACTCCTATGTGAATTTACATGCAAAGTAAGTGCACTACTGGTGTCCAGAATACACCATACACTAGATTGGTAGGTGTTGTGTGATTTTTGCATATTCAAACACTAACTTGTAAATTTCTTAGGGAGATAAAATTTTAGCTACAATCTTTGTTGGCTTTTTCTGTTGCTATTTTTTTTTTCCCTGAGTGTAGGATTATAAATCCTGCTGTTTAAATTCCATCTATAATAAAATGTTTACTTTTTGAAATCAGTGCATACCTTCCCTTTACCAGGGTAAAGTAAACCCCTCTTTACCATTAAGGCAGCAGACATGTATGTTAGAATATTTCTGAGCTTATGGGATGTGCAGCCAAAGACAGACCAGCATAAGCAGACATTCTGCCTAAAGACAAATGATGATGGTCCCAATCAGTAAAAGACACTCCAAGTATGGCATTAAACAAAAAATATTAAGTCAATGGCAAAACCAATTTTTACATGGGGATAGTTAACTCACCATAATGTAGATATGAAACACAAGTGAAATGCAAACACAGAGAAGCTGGAATGGACTGTCAAACATCTTTTTAAATTTATACTGCAACTTCTTCAAAAAATCCTATGCACTGACTTAAAATTTAGTTCCTTGAGCGTTTGGATTCTGCCCTATTCTATCACCTACTGCTGGTAATTAGAATTGTACCCTCCTACGCTGGAGACTGAATTTGATTTTGAAGAGAATATTAACAGGTCAAAAATTACATTTTTTTAAACTTGGATGGCAAATTAGTCCTGCTGCTCTTTACCACCTACCCACTTGCAAATGGCTGCAACTTCTCGGCAGTTAATGAAGTAGCATCCATATGATCAACAGAAAGAAGACATGTCTTTCTAGTTATAACTTATTTCACTTACATTTCCTCTGGAGTACCTCTGGTTTTATCCATTTTGTAGCAGAGATCTTGTAGCCTGCTAATCAGTTTTCCTGCCACTGGCTGTAAGTAATCCCACAGGAGCTTCGCAGAGAACGACTCAAATTCAGTGGGTAGATAATGTGTTTCGTGGAGTTCACCTGTGCACCTCTAACTCTCTTTACCAACTCTGCTACCTTACCTTAGCATCTGATTTTGAGTCTCTTGGGCCTGCAGAAGAGGGCCGAACAAAATAACTGTCTGTATCGAGAAATGTGGCCCTTTTAGTGGTTAATGAGCAAGCTGAGCTGGGTCTTGGAGGAAGCAATGACTTTGCTCTAGACTTTGAGGCAGGAATCTTTGACAAAGAGGCAGTCTAGTCATGAGAAAACAAACAAAACACAACATGAAGCTGGACAAAAGGAAAATACATGCAACATGGAGCAAAAAAAAAATAATATGCCAATCTATGAATTAATACTTTTCCTGTGTCTGGTAATGGTCTATGCAGATCTGACAATCATGGAAGTTTCAGTTTTGTGTTGTTTGGCTGAAATCACATAGGTCTGGACAGAGTTATCTATTCTAGGAATCTGCCTTTTTCTGCAGATGTTATTTTGGTCTTATTAGGAAAAACCTGGGGCCAGGTGTGGCATTTAACTGGTACAACTGCTGGCTGGTTGCACTAGAAACGAGTGCAAAGCTACAGAAGCACCAAGAGATTCCAGCCCTTTAAAGCTGAAATATATCCATCCAGGCTAAAATCAAGAATAAAACAGTGAGAATCCTAGAAGCAAAGTTACACCAGTATTCCCACAACAGTGGGAAGGCAAGACAGTATTCCTTCTTTTGCCATTGTGTACAGACAAAATCCCTAATACACGCCAGATACTGCTCTGTGCATTTGGTGTCACTCCACAGAAGTTAATAAATTTATATTGGCACTATGGAGTCTTGGCATGAGGAAAGCTATATATGCTTGAAAGGCTGACATGGTATGTTACTGTGAACAAATACTTGTTTGATACCAAATAATGACAATATCCCACTGAAAGAACAATTAAACACCAACAGGACAGACAGGAAATCTTTGTTTGTAGTTAGGAGCCCCTTTCTGCTTTACAAAAAGGAATCTCCTTGAAACAGAATGGGGCCACTTTGTTTCTTCCATAGGTATAACTGGTATTACAAAGAGCAATTGCAAAGGTGTTACCTTGCTTGTCCTGATCCTCTCTGTAGTCATACATGAAATTACACACAGGAACAATCCCAGTGGGCCTGTCATTCTGGGATTTCTACAGAACTTCAGCATTGAACTTGGAATTTGAGCTCAATTGATCCCCTAGACTTTCCCAATGTTCAGAAAAGGTACATGAGTTGATTTTAAGTTGTCTTGTTAGAAAATGAGAAATAAGAATGGGCATCCCACTCTGACAGGCCTCTGGCTTAGGCTATATACTCAGCCTATGGAAAACTGAGGCTGGTGTGCTGAATGTCATCCATGACATCACCCACATGATTAAGAGTTGCAGAACTGTGTAACAAGCAATTCCGGCCCTACAATACAGCTGAGAGGAGTTCTGTTGGATGTCATCCTCCAGACCAAGCAGCAAGACAAGAAATTAGGATGGAAGTGCTTTACTAGCAAGAATATATTCCCATAATGTGTTTTGCCTCTTTTTTAATTCTTACTTTACTGTCTGAGAACAAACAGAAGAAAATCAGTGAATAATTATTTTACACAGAAACTACAGAATATGTTTCTGTCAAATCACAGGCTTTTCCAGACTTTGACTGGTTTGTCATAATTAAAATTATGGGTCTCATCCATTTGTGAAACTTTGGATCTTGTTTAGAAATCCATGAAGGTATTTATTGATGCTGAAACTTTATAGAAGCAGAGTATCTGTGTTGGGTGGCCCCAAGAAACAGACATTCTGCAAGCACCTTTCTAAGCACATATTGTTTGAGGCTCAAATCATCATTCTGCGGTTTTCACCATTTTCAACTTGCATGCATGAAACTACCCCTATAATGAGACTGAAAAACTCTTACAGATTAAGCTGCTAGTCACAGACACAGACTTTTCACTTATATTGCTCAGTGTCCTCTGTGAATACATGAATCTAATGTGGATGCTAAAGATGGACAATGCTGAGATCAGTCAGTGGAACAGATGGGGAAAAGGCATGACCTTGAGCTTCTGCACAGCTCTGGTTATCACAGTCTAGAGTCCCTCCATGTTATTTAGGTAACAAAACACTTTTTAGCATCAGTAATAGAAGCAGAATCTGCCCAAAGCTGGTTAAGCAAGCAAAAAAACCAATCTCACTCCCTACAGGAAAACTCAGTCTCTGATAGCAATACATCACCTCTGACCTCTGTTTTAATTTATGTTGCTGGAAGGGTCAGCAGAGGACAAAGATCTACATAATTCTCACTGAAACTCAGGAATTGCTGAAGTGGGGATGCAGAACCCTCATTTTATTTCAAGGTGTTCCAGGTTTTCATCACCTCACTGAACTGCAGGTACACAGCTGCTTCCAGCAGATGGAACTGTTTAGCTTTTCCTGAACTTGTCCTGTGTAAACTGCAGTCTGAACATGGATAGCAAAACTGACCAGGCTGGATGATCTAACATTACCAGTGGGGAGGAAAAGGATGTACTTGAAAGGCATAAAAGCTGAAAACCACGAAGAAAGTAAATGACATAAATAGGGACAGATCTTTATAAAAGCAGAGGCAAGGCACAGCAGAGAAAATGTCCAAGAGGTGTGTGAGTGTGGCAACCAGAAGGGCAAGGCAAGAGGGAGAGAAAGTAAGCAGGGGACAGCTTTCTGATCTGTGCTATAACATAAGGGGCAGGAACAGGAAAGGTATACAGAAAGATAATTTCACAGAATGATTTTGCAGTGCTTGTACTAGAGCACTCCATAAACACTGAAAATGGCTAAGTATTGGCTTCTCTTGTGCAAGTGTTGATGGTCTGCCAAGAAAAGACAGTAATAAAACATGCTCAGACTCAGCCCAGAAACCTGCCCAGATCTTATTCACTGTACTTTTAAAGAAGCTCTAACAGTTTCCCAGCTATGAGCTGGAATGGGTCAGACCTGAAAAACCATGGTTCTACAAAGCCTCCAATCAGTTGTGCTGCTCTCAGCACTACCAGTTTCTTATGATTCATAAACAATGTGTAGCACTTCATGTGACACAGCTTTTTTACTCCCCAAGGAATTGAGAGTCTGGTTCAACAAGTGAAAGAAATCACCCATGGAATATACTAGGAAATGTATTAGGAAATTTAGAGAAATTCTATAGAAGTTCTTAATTGTTAATGATGGAGGTTGGTCCTGCTCAGGGCCAGGAGTTGGACTTGATGATCCTGATGGGTCCCTTCCAACTCAACATGTTCTATGATTCTATGATAGCAATGACACAGTGTTGTGCTGCAGATGTGGATTAGTATGTGTCACTATCATGGAAAAAATAAATGCATAGGGGAGAGTGAATGGAGGTTGGTTTCCTGGGGATTTTGGAGAGATGGGACAGAAACAGTGCAGTGTCACCAAAGGGAAAGAGTCTTTCCTTAAGAGAGCCAGACACAGGAAGCAAGAAAGTCTGTAGGGCAGCTGAAGGCAAGGCAAAGCAAGGTTGCAAACTGACAGATTATAACACAGACAGTGGCTCAGGAAGTGGCCATACTGAAAGCACTGAATCACATGTACATTCTCCTGGCCAGCAACTTCTACACAGGCACGGCCCCTGCAGAACACTGGGCTGTGAAATGGCTCACCAGGAGATATCCAGGTCCTGGGGGAGGGCTTCTGCCTACACAGAACTCGAGTCATTGCACTGGCAATGCAAGTTGGGTGCTGCAGGAAGGGCCAAGACACACAGCTTATCCCACAGAACAGCCTGGCTCAAAATGCTGAGCAGACTTCAAGTCCTGCAGCTCGGAGTCTGTGTGCCCTCTGTGGTTCTGCAAACTGTCACCATCTACCACTTGAGACTAGGCTTCAAAGGTTATTCAGGAAAGGTGCTTTTAATTATCCTTTTAAATGAATAATGAATATGGAGAACAAATTTTAAATGGAACACACACTTACTGAATTAACACAAAAAGAGGTGAAAAAAGGGCAAAAGGAGATTATAAAGATGAACAATAAGATTATTTTACTCACTGAGAGTTTTTCCTTTGCTTGTTTAAATACAGCAGGAGCCTGGTTTGTTTCACCACCTGCTGCTGAGAAATCCAAAGAAAGACTTGATAGTTAAAGACAGTAATAATAAGCATTTCCATTTAGTACACTTGTTAGACCAATTAAATGCCTTGAAACTACTGTGCAAAGCAAGTACTTTGTGAATTACCCTCAGCAAACTGTATGCAGACATTTACTTGCCTTGAAAATTTTCTGTATTCATCTTACTTGAGGTAAAATGGTATTCTATGTGTTTCAAACAAAATGAAATTTTGTATTCATGTTCCTAAAAGTCTATAAACTAAAAGAAAAAAGTTCCAGAAATAGCTGAAAAATATAAAAGTTTCTGGTCAATCCTCAGACAACTTAGCATCCTGATTTTCAGGACTGTCCTCTAAAAATCAGGCTCCTTTAAATCATCCACAAATTAAAATTTTAAGAGAGGCCTCTATAGTCACCACTTTCAAAATATCAGCCAACATTCGTAATGGAAAGAGAGAGATGCACTGATAAAATATCATCCTAGTTGTGTCAGCAAGGTCAGTGTGTCATGGTTAGCTAAGCTCTCTAGAATTTAGAAATTCAAGGTTCATCTGGGACATCAAGAATGTTAATTCAGTATTTGATTTATATGATACAACATGGTTTGAGATAGGATCTTTCTCTTGGCCTTTGAATCCATCCACACTGGTTTTTGAACGGGGCAGATTTTTGGAAAGCAGGTTATTAGCTTCACCCCAATACTGCTACTTAGGAAGGGATGTGCCACTTAACAACTAGACATGAAATCTTCTGGCACCTGTGCCAGGATGCCCTTGGTAAAGGCAGAAGTAGGACAGCAATCATAAATTATGACCTTCTGCTATACACCCAATTGTTTTCCAACCCTAAACCCAACCCTAATTCCTCAGACAGGAAAGGTCAGGTTAATTTTTCCCTTTTCTAATGCAGGTCCCAGGTGTGGTGAGGTTATCCCTGGTTTTCTGTCACACTACCCACTCTAGTCCAAGGTGTAGGAGAGAGAGTTTGTGAGGAGGAAAAGAATATGCAACTGCATACTTCAGTTCTTCTGAATTTTTTAAGAGAGGTAAGTGCAGCACAGCCTTACCATGTCACACTTTACCACAGCTATTACTGCTGCTTTGGGTCTGGTTTCCATCTCTTCTAGAAAACCACAAACAGCTTCTTTCCTCCTTCCCTTGGCATTCAACCCTAACCAGTCTCAAGTGGAAAAAAAGCTGTATCACTTGTGCCAATATGCCTGGTAACAACCACAACTTCTCCATCTGAACACAAGATTTCTACAGGCCCTGCTGTTGGCTTAAATACATAACAAACGTGTTTCAGTCCAGAGGGTGACCCCAGAATTGAAAACAAGAAACATCATAGCCAGGCCATTGTCCTGGCCTTGCCTCCAAAAACACTCCTCTGATAACACAACTGCAGTAGCAAATCACAGCCACCAACAAAATCCAGACCAGGCTGGGGGTTTCTACTCATGGAGCTACACTGGTCAAGGCAAAGACTTCCCAACTCTCTCATCAGGGTTGGCCATGACATTTCTTTTTCAAATGGCAAGGACAAGTCTCTCAAAAAACTGTCCCTGCCTCGTGGATATGGTGTTGTGAGTTCCTGGTATTTGCCAGTGCTTACCAGTGACATGGGAATTGTTTTCAGGTATTGAGGGGCATTAGGGCAAAGATGTACTGTTCTGGGCCATTGTGCAAAACATAAATGAAAATATTAACTTCTTTTGGTAGATATCTGTATCTTATGAGTGGACATGTTTCATTTTGAAGTCATGGTAAATGCAGTGTGGAGTTTTTAACTGGCTGCAACACACTCAAAGCTCTGTGGACTACACTGCCCAGAACTTTTGTGGGGCTCTGTTACCTAGGCATTACTAAAGCTGAAATGACCACTTCAAACAGGATGCACTGACAGTCAAAACTGGCTTCAAGAAATGGTGCTGTATTTTATTTGAAAATGGGAGAGAGACAATGTCCCTCTAGATTCCACGTCCTGGAGAAACCTGGATGACACATTCAAGCTCAGGGATATGTAAGGTAACATATGACCACCTGCACTCTTAGAATATCACATAGTGTTGCAGTCTTCCTCATGGTCTCCCCCCAAGTCCCATCAGGAAGTATAAAAATGGGAGGTAGAAGAAAATAAGACATACTGTAATTTTTCCAGCAACAGTGAGTGTGCTGAAACATTCTGCAAAATATTTTTGATCATTTTCTGTCATAGTTTCAGCTCCTCTGCTTTAGAGCTCAAAGTTCAAGCCACATTTCTGAAAGTTTTATGATGAATCTGGGTCCATCATTTTGGTTGCTGTCCACCAGAGGACTGAAATAAAGGAGGACTTAAGTAAGGGGGGGGTAGTTTTTGTATTATATTTCTCACTTTGATTAATACATCTGCTTCACTGTGTATTGCAGTGAGAGAGAAAAACCTCTGAGATGTTTCAGGCACATGTTTCAGGTACAGGGCAAATTTTCTTATCCAAGTCCTTTGGTATGACTCAGTTCTCTTTGGGATTCTGTGGGTCAGAACAGTTCAGAGGAGGTAGTGGCAGAGCACCTGAGGGTGTGACAGCACTGACCACGCAGCTGTGGAAGTGTAGAAGAAGTGGAGAACACTACAAAGCCAATGCTTTCCCCCCACCCATGTCCACATCTTATTGAACATCCTGGGGCTTTCGAAAAAACATGTGAATTATGAGTTGTAACTTCTGAGCTATCAAGCTGTGCTTCAGCAAGCAGCAAGAGATAGCAAGCAGAAATGTTTTAACTGTTTTTTAAAATTCTGTCCTCTTGGGTAGTTCTGATCCATAGTGCAAGTTAGGACAGCCCAGAGACTGCAAACTGAGGAGGAGCCATCAGTGCAACACAGAGGGGACTGAACCAGCCTTTTCTTTCCTGGTTCCATTACTCCTGAGAGGGGGAAGTGAAAGGATGGGATCCTGTCATAGGAGCGAGGTGATGGGATCATTAGTTCTGGTGTCCTAAAGGAACACAGCCAGGATACAATCTGCACTTCATGCAGCAGAGGCACAATTCTAAACCTGTTTTAATCCTCTGGCTGCATTTTCACTGGTCACACCTCCCTGCTGGGGCTGCTCTGCATTTACAACAGCAGTGACTGGTGCAAAACTGCAGGGGAATGACTGCCTGGGGACACTCTTAGTATTGCTTTGCTTGTCAATATGATGGGTAACATATCTTCCTGTTAATTTCTAAGCTCTGAGAAGATGCCCATGCACCTCTGCATTGCTGTTCATCATTCTCTACACAACCACACTACAGCATGTGGCTGCATTACTCAACAGAAAACCTGGCCCCTTTCTGAAATTTTTTTTAAGATCACAATGAAAGTCAAGATGTTCATCCTTCCACTTTGAACTCACAGGAACCATGAATAATATGTGAAAATGCTGGAAGAGTTATTTTGGTCCTCTAAATAATGATACACCTATGGAGTCGTAACAGGTATAATTTCTTTCTTCCTTTCATCTTCCTCTAGCAAATATTAAGATTTTTGCTTGGAATGCATTTCGCAGTGTGAGCCCAGATTTCTTCTCTCTCAGCTCCATGCTGCATGTGGCTGGATTCTCCCTGTGGATTTTGACTGTACAGCATAAACATCAGTGACAGATTGGGAATTATCAGTGCAGATAACATCAATAAACAATATGTAAGTCTGAAACACTTCTTATTATGCATGAGAGTAAAAAAGCAGAATAATGGAAATGCATACCATGGTTTAAGTTGCCAACATTTTCCCACCAGAAAATAAAATAAAGCATAATTTTTTGAAGAAAAAAATAAAAATAAACAAAAAAGATGAGTAGAGATTCCTAGAACACCACACTCTAAGCACGATGCCAAGTTACAACCACAGCACTTGGAGGCCCAAGCAATGACAAGCATACATGATCATGGTCTCCATCAAACAACAAACAAATACCAGGAAAGAAAGAATAAAAGAAAAATGGTACAAAACACTAAAATAGCAATACTATTTGTGAAGATTGATACTCTTGGAGGAAAAAAAAATAAAAAATAAAAAATAGAGAAGCTGCTAGAGCTATGAGATTTACAAAAGAAAATGTCTATGTTTGCCAGCCACATTGCATAACTGAACAGAACGCAGTCACCTGTCTGCTTCCGTTTAACACAGGAGAGATGAGTTGGTCTAGTATATTTGATAGCAGGTTTTAAAATTATTTTCCTGGAGGGAGAGTGGGCCTGAACTTCAGTTTTTTTAGCAAGTTCAGCTTTCTTATACACTGCTACGGACAAAAAGAACACAAAAACACAGAATCAGAAAAAAAACCAAGCAAACCATTTCATATGATCAATACATCAAGTGTCAAGCCCACTGCTCCACAACTCCAACCCAATGCTTTGCTTCTTCTGAGGGGAACAAATGCTGTGCTGGAAGAGGGACAGCACTGGTGCATTGGCTCAGATGCATTACCCAGTGATCAGTGGGGATGTCTACAATGAAATAGGACCAGTGGAGCAGTGAGCCTTGGACATGGCTTCTCACATAATTGTACAATATCTCATTAAAGAACTCTACCGTTAATAATGTCATGGTGCACATAATCTACAACAGAGTAACCAGATAGTACTGTAAAATAGTAAGAAAATAAAAAAAAAATTGTAATAGGAGTGTGAAATGAACCTTTTTTCCTTCTCACTTCATCTCTGGAGAGTGTGCTAGGTTCCTTTTTAGCTATTTTCCTTTCAGGAGTAGAAATCCTGCCTCTCCCAGTTTTAAAAGGTTTCTCTTTTTTATGCTTATCAAGAGATGATCTTCGCAATTCTCTCTCTGCTTTCTCCTCTTTAGGAACAGTCTCTAACTGTTCAGTCATGATGCTCCTATCATCATCTGTAGGATCAGAGCAAATTACAACAACAAACAAAAGATTAGCAACAAATGTTAACAATACTTCAGAGGAGCAGGGAAAAAATAGTTGAAGATAAAGCAGATGATTAATTTTTTAAAAAGAAAACTATTTTTACCATTTTTTCTGAAACATGCTGAGATTACTATTATAACTGAAATAATTTTGCTTTTCAATCATTACGATTTGGAAGCAAAAATATTCAACAGACAAAACAGAAAGGATAATGCACACCTTGAGTGTCTGCCCAGAGACTGTCTGTGTCCATGATGGAGTCATCAATTGTTGTTTCATCTTTGTAATCGTCACACGTCTCTGTTTTGTAGTTAGTGAGCAGGATTTCTTCTCTCTGGGGTGAAGCAGGAGCCTCTCGGGAGCCTTCCTTGGGCTCAACTTCCACCTCTTCAACATCTAGCTCCTCTTCAGCCTGGGAGTCTCCTGTTTCAATGTCTTCCTGCTGAGTAGCAGCAAAGCGCACGCTGTGAGAAGCAGATTCACCCTCATCAACTGTTGTCTGCACCACTGTGATAAAGTCATCCTCCACCGTCACCACTGATTCAATAATGCCTTTCAGCTCAGGCAGTGCTTCTGGGCTACCCTTGGCTCCCATTTCTTCTGCAGCAGGCTTGCCAAAGTCAGGGGGCATTTCTGATACAAGGTACTGTTTATCCTCTTCTTTTGCTTCTTGCGCTGCTTCCATCTCTTCCTCCTCATATTCTTTCTCTTCTGGGGCCCCAGCTGCCAGTTCACAAGGCAGCAGCTTTTGGGTTTCCATAGGTTTCACAGCTCTATCCAGAGTCTCTTCAGCTCCTTCTACAAGTTGTGGTATGCTTTCCATCTGAATCTCAGCAGGCTCCTCCTGGAGAGACTCAGCTTTTGGAAAGAGGAGCTCCACAGAAGTCTCCTTTGCTGGTAACTGTGTAGGCACCTCTTCCCCAGACATGGGAGGTTTTGGATGTTCTGCTTTGATATCCTCTGCTTTCACAGATTCTCCATTCAAACTTTCTTGGGCTTGATCATGCTCTCCACTAGATTCATAAGATTCCTCCTTATCAACTGCCTCTTGATGCACCAGATCTGGCTTAGTTACTTTTTCCTTAATTTCTGTTTCTGACAGTTTGGTAATGTCCTTCACGTAACTAGGCTCGGTCTTGGAAAGTA